CCTGCTAGGGTCTCACATGAATTAGGGCAGAGTTGCAATATTCTGGCTCCAAGTAACTGGGCCAAATATTGCAGCCTTTACTCAGGCAAACTCTCCGGTAGTCAAGATGTGCGATGCTGTTGCATCTGTAGATTAAAACCGGATGGCATCCTGGGGTTTAGGAAGGCTCATGGGTTGTGCTATGATACGTCAAACAGTAGTGAGATTGCTTGATCACCACGTTGATCGGAGAGACTTTAGGATCTGGCCCTCTTCTTGGCCCAAGTAGAGAATAACTTGGCACTGAATAGATTCAGTGTTGACTGAATAGTTTCAGGGTTGGCTCTGCCCATCCTATGCACATCAGGTTCTCCAGCATTTTGGAATAGGAAATGCTGCTGGTACCAACTCCCCCATTGAAGTCATGCTGGCAGGGTACTACTAGACTAGAAAATTTTCTTGAGGGAGAGGGATTTTTTTGTAAGTGAAAGTGAATTGGAGGGGCTGGTCTCCAGGAGGAGTGGGAGACAGTGAGAGAATAAACCTCACACTCAGAGGGAGGTGGGGAAAAAAACAAAACCTCTGGGTAGTGTTACCCATTCTTTGCTCTGAATCTTGTCAGATGTGTCTGATCACTGATCATTTCAGAGTGGGAATGCCTGTCAGAATGGCTTTCCAGGTTTAATATCTTTGCTGTTTAATAATAAACAGAGAACTTATTTAGAGTTCAGATGTTTGCCTGAAAAATGATATAAAAGCAGTCTTTAACCAGGAAAAAATGCAGAATTTGATGTTTGTTTCTTTACTGTGCTATAGAGAAGGCAGCACCGTGACAAAAGTGTCTTGGACTGGGTTGATTTTTGATCGCCTCCAGTGTGCTCCTGTCATCATAACAGAAATTCTCAGTGACTCATACCATGAAAACAGCAATCTGTTAATGAGGCTTTTACCTTCAGGTGCTTGAAATGGATCTTGAGTGCTTTTAAGTATTAAGTTGTGATAGTATAATCGAGCTAACCAAGCTGTACTTCAACCATTTTCTGTGTTTAAATTCCCCTTCTATTTTTTTTCCTTAAATTTCATTTGAGTATCCTTTGTCTTCTAAATACACAAAACATATAAAGATTCTAATTGTTGGGCTTTTGTTGGAAATGTTACTCTAAGATGACTTAATCAAATATTTTAATCTCTTGGGATGGCGTTCTGCCTTGCATCTTATAGAGGGAGCCCCTTGATAATGATGATACTTGCTTGCACCTTGCTAGTTCATAGAATATGTCCATGTTTTCATGATCAAAAAAGTTATTTTCACTGATTTTGGCCAAACAATAAAGTAAGGAAAAAATAATTTTAACGTGGCTGCAAAGCAGCACCCTATGAGGGCATCCAGCATAAAAACAAAATGACCAACATAGCAGGCAGGCGTAGTAGGTTCAAACTAGCAACGCAAGAAAAGGTACCATACTGGGTCACAGCATGCCTTCAATATAGAGGCCAGTATCATGTGAGACTGAGCATTGCTTTAATTAAGGACAAATGTGCAAAAAAAAAAAACCACACAAACAAAAACAAAAACAGTTAAGCCATCAGAGCCCTAAATCTTCATAACCTCTCTGAAGGTTATACAGCAGCACTTCTCCCCATCTCTCCACCTGTCTTTCCCTCGGCTTATTTGGGAGACAAATTGCCATTTATTCAGGAGAGGGTTCTTAACCTGTTCTTTCCCTTTAAGTGCATTAAATGAACATCACCTTGCAAATGTAAAGTTGCTCTTTTTTTTTTTTTTTTTTTTTTGACTTCTGGGCACTGCAGTGATTTCCGCTTTTGAACTTGCTTGCCTACCTTGCATTCCTTCAGACAGCTGCTTGGCTGTTACCAGTGCTACAGCCCTTGCTAAATGTTTGGCTACAGCAGTCACTGTACTGATAGCCATCTTCTCTGCACAGTTTGGTTCTTGCTCCCTTTGAAAGGGACCATGCACTATGAGGCTGTTAGAAACACATGCCTGATGATAAAGATATATGTGCCCTAATAATTCAGCCCTGATAATTCCAGATTGCTCATGTGCTTTGCTAATACAATGACAGAGTCCTTAGAACTGTAATGTTTAAAGCTTTTGCCTGTCTTTTTTCATTTGTCATTTTGGTCTGGCATCTGTGTTCCCTGCTTCTTGGCCAATTATTTTAGAATTAATTAGCTTATTTTAAATGTGTGCACATTTTTTCCAATATTTCATTTTTTTATCTCAATATAAAGAGAGGCTTAGGAAACTCCATTTAATATTTTTCTAAACATGGCTTGTGGCAAGAAAATGCCCTGCAACTTATTTAGCCCATGTTTCCTGGTGTCTGTTACCACTTTTCAAAATATTTTTTAAAACTGTAATTTGATGAAATATTGAATACCTGGCTAAGCAACATACAGAGGGTTTTTGTTTTCATTACTATCTTAAAATTCCATCCAAAGCAAAAGCATTGAAAGAATAAGTACTGGGGAATTATTTTTAAAATCCTATGTAAAAAGTAAGCCTGAGGGACAAACTGTCACGCTAAGATAAACTGAGAGAAACGCTATTGAAACAGCTGGAAGTAGTTCACATTGAAACCACCACGATCATGGTAGAAAATTCCTACACCGGATGTTCAGAAACCTATTTCTCACTTGAAAGCCTCCCCTCAACTTTTCCAGCTTCATGAACTGAGCTAGCTGCAGTGTCTCCCATCTCCTATGTAAAACAGCACCCAGGACAACTGCAGGGATGTCTCTCCCCAGCCCCACCGCCCCGCACGTCCGCAGCATCTCTCTGCCCCAGCACAACTGCTTGGCGCAGCTGGGGATTAATCACCTGTTTGGCTTGTAGGTTATTTTTATCAATAAGCATGTTACTGAGTCACTGCTTCTCAGATTAACTTCTGACAGGTGGAAACATTTTGTAAATGGTAAATGAAATGAAAATTTGGTTTCAGAAAAGAAGATAATGCGACGAAATATCAAAAACATCTTCTTATTTAAATAAGTTACTAGTTGCACAAGACATTTTCCTAAATTACTTTTCAAGCCTTTTTTTTAAATTTTTTTCTTCTCATCTCCATTTCAAAATAGATTCCAGTTATTTATTATGCTAAGTATATAGTTCATTAGATGTTTAGTAGATAGCGTGCAACAGTAAGTTGTGCACTGATTTGCAATTGCAGAAGCTTTTTTTTGTGTTTTAAGAAACAAACAGAAAAGTAACGTTCTTTAGTCACTCATTTTAAAGAAGAGTATTTGAGGGGCTCATTTCTGGCAGGATAAATTCATTAATATCGCTTTGGTATTTCTGGTTTTGAGCAAACACCACTGCATTTAATTAGAATAATTTCTAATGTAATTACATTAGAAAACTCTACAGAGATCCACACTGCACTGGGGTTTCTGAAAGCATGCATATTAAGGCATTTAAGGACTCTTGATAAAGTTTCTGCATTGAACCTGATATCCCATGAATGCTAAGCACTTACAGCTGATGGGCAAAGGAGCCTCGAGGTCTCCAAACTCCTGCGAATCAGGCAGTTACATTTTGTGGCTTTGTTGCAAAGAGTGAGATGGGAGATGTTGGAGCCCTTCAAGTTCATCTTCCCACAGAAGGCATGGTAGAACGGCTGTCTCGTAAAACTCGAGCTTTCTAAAAATTCATTACAAATATTTCCCATATATCTGACAATGTACTGCTATGAACTGCAACCGTGGCGTGAATGCCTAGTTTGATTTCAAATACATTGCTGCTAAGTAGAAATCTGCATGACATAACACCAATAAAACAAAACAAAAACAGTGGCTGACTTGCACATTTGGATTTGAATATTTAATTTAAAAATAAAAGGGAGATGAAATTTGATTTTGGATTTTGCCATTTGTTGAAGACATTTGTTTCAATGGTTTACGAAGCCACCGTGTTCTAGAAATGCTGCTTTTGATGTCTTCCCAATGAATGTGCTAAAGTTAGTGGAGATTTTATGTATTCGTACAGAATTTGCTCTGTAGGTCTCAAACTAGACATGCCAGTGCTGCTGTTGGAAGCGCTCCTTCTGCAGCACACAAGGGTGGCATTCCCTGATGGAGACGCGTTGCTGCTTTACCAAATCAGCTTGCGATTTAAGAGCCCTGAAAGGGGTACCAGCACATGAATTTTGGTTCCTAGTTTCTCAAGGCTGCCAGCTACCCTCCGAATATTGGTGGGAATTCAACGGGTTTGTGTGTTTGGGTGCAGGAGCCACGTGCTGTGTACGAGGTGGCTGTCGGTACCGGCTCAATGATGTGAGGCCCTGCTTAATGTTTGCTTTCTCCACAAAGTATAAATGTGGAAGGACAGGGAGCGGTTCCTTTCTCCCAGCTTAAAACCTAAAAATGCTAAGTTTTTTATCTAGTAGGATGTGGCTCTTTAAAAGAAAATAAATAAATAAATAAAAGAAAAAAAAAGGCACAAATGGGTTTAAAATCAGTGAGCTAATTGGTACTTTCCAACTGTTCTGGAATCTTTTCCCCACTTAACTGTGATGAGGTAATTATTTGCTTAATCAAAATATCATCGGTACCTCCAGTTACCAGTTTCCTTTATCAGGAGTGAGGGACTCATGGTTTTGTGCTCAAATTCGTCTGTTTCTCCTTACTTTTAAAGGTAGATGCATTCCCCTAAGCGGCAGCATAGCTGGAGGTCCCAGTTCCCGAAGGTGCAAATTAACATACCACATGTTAATTTGTTTTCTCGTCCTTCAGTGCCACTGAGGAGAGTTTAAATATTTCAGTGACTGAGACATTGAATTCCTGCTCCTTTCTCCATAACAACAACAAAAGCTATTTATAGCAATAACAGTTAGCAGCGGTAGGACAGTGGCAGACAGCTATCGGCAGTGTCTCACCATGACCACAAATGTTGACTGACTTTTTGCACTAAATGCCTCTGTGAAAACAAAGAGCACTGAGAAATCGAAGCGAAACCAAAAAAAAGATTTTTTTATTGCTATGTTTTACTTTGCTGGCAGACCAGAGCAAAGGTTTTCTGAACATTTAAAAGATGAAAAAGGTGAAGAATCCCAGAAGCGATTTATCTTGAAGCGAGATAACTCTAGTATTGATAAAGAAGACAATCAGGTTGGTTCTCGGTTCGAGAGTTGCTGAAATTGTTCTGTTCTCGCAGGTGGGCTGACTGATGTTATTGTTGTTCTTTTGTTGTTGCTCTCCTCCTCTTCCTCATCCCCGTCTCCTGTCCCCGTCTTCCCCGTCTCCCTCTGGCGCACCCATGGCGGAGAGGCTCGAGCCGCAGCGCGCTCGCTTCAGCAGGGGCAGTGTGTGGGTTTGCATGGGCGGTTTGCTTGGCGCAGGCCTTGCTGCATGTCAGCCCGGCAGCTCCCAGCTGTGGGAGGGCTCTGTCCCTCGCTGTTCTCTGTCTCTCGTATGGCCACGGCAGTGGTTCCCCCCAACCCCTTCCCTGCAGCTTGCTCCTTCAGTTGTGCCTGTCTGGAGTTGGGTTTCGGAACAGACCCACAAGAAACTGGTGCAGCCTAAAGAGAGAAAATAAAGCTAACAAAACAATCCCCACAAAAAAACATAGGCCAGGTTGATTTTTGAACCATCCTAAAAGAAGTTCTGACCCCAAAAGAAATCATTTTCATCTTTTAGTTTCCTCCCTCTCCCTGTGCCCTCACCATGTTTTGCTGTCCGTGTGACTTACCTGCTTGTTTTGCATGCACCGTGGCAGCACTCCTCTCCGTGTCGCTTGTCACATAACCTAACACCGCGTTGCTGTAGACGAGTCCGATGAGTAGAGGTACACCAGGGCCATGTGTGCATTTGTGCTACCTTTAAAAGCAAGTGTTGTGCTGTTTCAACCCAGTGTAAGCTGTGTCTGTGACCAATACTAATCAAAATCAAAAAGGTTTCTGAAGTGAATTGCTTTAATGACAAAATTCTCACAGGTAAGACAGCATATGTTTTCTTTGCTTAGGTTTGTATTTTTGGAGTCTCTGCCAATGAGTCTCTCATTGCCACTCTCCTTCATGTTTTCAGTAAAGGACTGTTTTTCCTTTCGTTTTGCTTTCTTTTTGTTTTTCCTACCTTCTTTCAGTGGTATTGAAAGCTGCTTTTCAGTTGGCGTTGCAGGCAAAACTCGAATGTTTTCAGGGTGCTATGAACATGGGAATCAGCCAAAGGAAGGCAACATGTTCTGTTTACAAGGTGCTGTGGGGAGCAGTGCTTTAAAACCAGATGGCAAGTAGAGTGCTTTTTGCTGCGTGTCCTCCCTTCCCTTCCCCCAGGACACAGCTGTTCTTGGCACTGTGGTGCCATTTTTTTCCCAATGAGGTTGAGATCAAAAGTTCTTTTTTAGTGCTGAAGTGGTTAAAACTTTTGTGCCACTTATTTTGGACTCCTCCTCCTCCTTGTAAACATAGACGTTGAGTTTCTCTTAGGGTTTATAGCTTAGTTCTTACTTCTTAGTACTTAGTGCTCAGTTTACCTCTTGTCTTTCTCGATTTCATAGGCAGCTAATTACTCCCTGCCCTCCCATTCCTGGCAGTTGGTAGGAAAGTTGAGAAATCTTATCAGTGAAAAGCAGTGGCACTTAGGGCATGGGGTGAAAAGATGTGAGTTTAGGATTGGTATACACAAAAAAAGGTCATGCAAAAAGCCTAATTTTAGCCAGTCCATCTAGGAACGCTCTTGCAGTGCCTACCTGGAAACCCTGGGCACCCAGCAGAGCAAGGTGCTTTTGCACTGCCCTAGGATTGAAAGCTATTGTTTTCATGCTTCCTTTGTTTAAATGAACATTTACTATTCTCAGCTGACAGTTACTTAACTGCAGTTTTTAACAGCTCAACTTATATAACCCTCCTGGTTTCTTTTCTGCTCAGCAAAACAGAATTCTTCCATTTAGAGATGACAGACGAAGTAAATCAATTGAAGAGAGAGAAGAGGAGTATCAGAGAGTGAGGGAGAGAATATTTGCACAAGATGTGAGTAGTTGTTTTAATTGCCTATTTAGTGCCATATCTTTATCAGTAGTCAGGCAGTATTCTACCCATCCAACATTAATGCTGCAGCTGGATTAAACAGTGGAGTTGGAGATGTAGAGAAACATCATTCAAACAAACACCCTAGACAGTACATAGATCAGTTTCTGGAGCAGGAGATAAGAGTTGCAGAGAGAAAGGAGGAAGGTAGATCAGGCCCAGCATGTTGTCTAGGGAATGCTTGTCCCATTTCTTTGAATGTTTGTGTGGTCTAGGCTTTCTTTGTTTTTCTTCTTTGATTTTCTTTTTTCTTTTTTTTTTCCCCCCAACAGAAGAGCAGTGATTTAAATGGACGCTCTCAATAATTTTATATACCTGATTTATTTCATTTTGGTGTAAAGTTGGGTCAAATTTCTCAAGTGGCTTTCTACAGAGCCTCCTCACAGTTATTTCTTTTGGGGACAGCGTTTTAGAACTGAGACGCTAGTAGAGCTTAAACATGCAGTTGCAGAGCTTTCTTTTTTTTTTTTTTTCTTTTTCCTTAATGACTAATTGAGGAGCCCTATTTCTGCTGTCAGAGAGTCATGTCATTGATGATTCTGAGATGAATAAGATTAAATAGGTAATATAATTTCTGCCTTACTGAAAAATTAACACTTGCAGAGCAAGGAAAGCCTTTAAATTTGAAACACTTATGCTTTGTACCTCATGCCCCTTAAAAAAAAATTATAAATTGCCATACTACTGTAATGATGGAGTCCTAAATGGAAAAACAAACAAAACAGAAAACATCAACATTTTATTGTTTTCTGTCATATCTCAGTGGGAGGAATATGGGTAAAAAAATCGAAAGTGTTACAGAAAATTATTTTTGACAGTGTCCTTTTAAATTAAAACTGTTCATTAAAACTGTTCCCAGGATTAATAATATTATTTTAGTTGTCCTTTTGTTTTGCTTTGGTTTTGGAGTTGTACCCATTGAAGTTATTTTTCATTAGCAGAATCCATTGAATGGTTTAAGACACCTTGTCTCACCTCTGAGCATATTTACCATGATAAGTAACAGTGCTTGTTAGTAAGTAGCTGCTCATATCTAAATGTTTTTAACCTGGCTTCTTCTTTCTTGACTGAGAAAAGTCCAGTGGAAGCTAAACCCTTCCCTTTACGTTTCACTTTCAGCATGTTGGTCTGGTGTTGCTGCAGCATATACAACAGGGTTACTGAGTCATTCAAGGGCTGCAAAAGCCTCAGTTGCAACTTGCCTTTTATATGAAAGTTATCATTTCACTTCATTACAAAGGAGCTTGCACAATAACAGAAAATCTTTGGGTTTTGAAGCAGAGTTCAAGTGAGGCAAAATGTTGTTAAAACACCCTATGGGAAGGTGTTGCCAAAACAGTTTATGTCACAAGAAGCAGCTAGAAATGAGAACCAGGCTGGGAACCCCGATTGGACGGCAAAGCGTCCTGAAATTCAGTGCACAACTGGCTGTTGTTTATACGTTTAGAGACTTAGGTTTTAAAGACAGGCAAGCAGTGAACATTTTAATTGCTCACAACAGGAGATTGATATGGTCCACTGGGTTGGTATTGCAGAGTGGCAAGGCCTAAGTAACAGTGTGGTTTTGTGGTAGGGATTTTAAATGGATTGGGAGTGAGCAGTTTTAAAGATCTGCAATGTAGATATCTCTCCCTCTCTCTCTCATATCCACTCATTTGCCATCTCTCCCTGCTTTTTGCAGGGGTTAGTGAGCCAGCAATACATCATATTGCAGTAAATTTTGGCAAGTTGTACTACTAATATGCTTAGCTATATTAAGAGGAATGTATTTCTTAGCTGAGTCCTTCCAAGTGGAGCATTCCTCACACATGAGGTCTTTTCTAGAATTCTGTCAGTGTTTGCATGTGGTGGCCGACGATGCCTTTTTTATTCTTTTTGTGGGGGAACAAGGTCTTCCTACCACAAGTAAATTTTCTCCATATTTCTCTGAGATACCTAAGCCTTGTCAGGCTGTTCAAATTGGAGAGAGAGAGATGTGATTAATCATGGTGTTTTTATTATCTCTGCACATTTTATGCTGCTGGAGTCAAGCCTTCATCAGTGCCTTGCTTATTAGCCTTATAAAATGGATTATAGATACTTCACTTCTAATTTAAGCATGCACAAAGAGGGGCTTGCATCAGGAGTCTCCAAAGTGCAGCAGCAAAGGTTGACAGTACTGGCATAACCTGTTGTGCTTCATACCACCCTCTAAATATGTCTGAGGCAGCGAGAACTCTTTGGAAAGCTTATCAGCCCAAGAGTCAGAACCGCAAACAAAGAAGAAAATGCAGTCTAGTTACAGGAGTCAACATTTTGTTGCATGTTTCAAGTGCTGTGAAAAATGCCTTAATCTGGACTCCCATTTACTGTCAACCAGAAAGCTTTCTAGCTCTTCCATTGGATTTTGCAGCACTCTAGTGCACCAGGAATCTTCATTTCCAAGTGGCAATTTTGAACAAAATAAATATGTTTGTGAAAAATGGCATCATTTTGACGGTCCTTATAATGATTCGTCTGGTATTAGTCAGTCAGTAAATTACACTTTCTGTCAAATTTTCCATCTAGTATGTTGGCTGTCATCAAATTTGACAAGGGAACCTAGAGGTTTTAATGATTCCTGTCACCTGTAGAGTCATACAAAGTAGTAGGGGTTGAGGGATTTGACTTGGTATCTTAAAGGGATTGGTGAAGAAAGAGTTAATAAATTTGGTAGTTCTCTCCCTCACTGAAATAAAAAGTACAAAATGCATTTTTAAAAACTTTTCAGGCTGCTAATAGCAAAATAGCATTGCATTGTGACCTGTTATGCTCAAAGATATTTCTGAGATACTTATTTAATAGTAAAGCTTATACTTTTTATTCTTCATTTCTCTAAATTAGAAATTTAGTTTTACAACAATTGGTGAATTTTACAACCAAATCCACTAGAGCAGAGACATGAAATACCTGCGCCTTGAGAAGAGGTTTCTAATCTGAATCTTTGTTTTTAGAATACTGAAAAGTAATTGTCCAAGAATGAAAAGTCTAAAAGGAAAAAAAAAATTGTTCTTAGCATTATATATTGATTCAAACTATAGGTTTAACTGCGAATCCTAAATGCTCAGTTAATTTGGCTTTTGAGCATGCAGAAGATTGATTCTAATGAACAGCAAACAAATTATTAGGGGAATTTTATTCTTGGAGGTTAATGCAATGCATGAGCCAGAGTCACAGAAGCACCATCCATAGTTCTGAAGTGTATTCTCTAGTAATTATTTTTTTTCCACTGAAAAATGTAGTTGTTATTACTTATACAAGTGCCAGAATTGCCCATGACTACTCATGGAACTTATTAAAGGAAATTATCCACTGCTTTTTGTTTTCCTTTGTGAATAATTGTAAGGGTCATTTTTGATCAAGGAGTGTGTTACCAAGAGCCAGATGCCCTTGAAAAAATACATGAGAATTTCTCCAAGGAAGAGAACATGGAGGATCTTTACTATTGCTCTCTATTACTATTGATTTGAGAGATTCAGAAGAGAGATCTGCCAAGATTCAGACTCTCCTATCCTTGTTGTAGGAAAACAATCTGTAGGAGGAGGAAGAAGTTTTAAAATGAATATAAATGAAGCTAAGACATGCCTTGTACTGGCTAATGTTACCTGTGCGTTTGCTGAGCACTGAGATTCCAGTGCAGCTGCACAGAGCCTTCCTTTGTGGCAGCAAATCAAGCAATAGGCTTTAGCTGGCAGCCTGAGATCTATCATATCTCGTTAACTGATGTGAAGATGATTACCTGATGGTATCCACTGCAGGATATGGCTGCCTGTTAATAGCTCTCTGTGTTGACTAATGTAATTAAAAACAAGAACAGCAACCCCCCCATATTCTTAGTGCACTAACAGAGCTGACAGAGATTTTCCAGTTGAGAGTTTAAAAGGTTCTGGGAAGCAGGAGCGAAATATTAGTTTCATAAATGATAATTAGCAGTACACAGAGCTGTAATGGAGATCTCTCATGCAGAGATCCCCGAGGAGCTGAAATTGTAGGTAATGTTATATAACTTTTTTCCTTTCCTCGATTTGTTGCAGTATCTTAAATCAGTATACGAGAGCCAAGTGTTTTATAAATAGTTTTGACAACAGCTCTATTGTGGTTTCTTGAGCTTTCCTGGTGCTTTAAATTGAGCGTTATTGATGCTGCAGCTCAGGAAAGTGTGTCCTGACCTTGTAGTAGCTAAATTGCTATCCAGAGCTGCTTAGCCATCTGATTTTTAACAGCAAGAATAACATAATGAAAAAATTGTCTCTCTTCTCTGCCTCTCAGCCTCTCATACGTATTGAAAAATAGCGATTATAGGGATTGTGTGGCCTTGTGCCAGCATCTTCAGCCTGAAAGACAGATGGAGTTATTACAGAACCTGTCCTTAAGTCTATTACGGAACATATAGTGATTGCCATCAAGGCACTGAACAGGGAGCAGGCCTCTCTCCTCGCTTAATAAAATGTAGGTATTCTGCTTCATGCTGAACTCTATTAAAAACATCCACAAATTGATGTTCATAATTACTTTCTCCCGAACAGGAACATGCCCCTCTGCTATCTTATCTTCACACTAGTATTCTATTGTGAGGAAAGGTTTTGGTGATTTGTCCTGGAAAAGCAGTTTTGGAGCTGCTCTGAAAACGTGGCTGCAAAGGGGTTAATGTGCCTGGCACGAACCTAGATGTGCAGGGCCATCCTGGCAGTTTGGGTCATCCCAGCGTCATCTCCAGGGCTGCTGGCACTGGAGGAAGTGGGAAGCTATTAAATTAAGAGCTGCAGTATGAGACCCTTCTCCAGCTGGGGCGAAAGTCTTGGGGAAGTTTGCTCAGGAATGAGTTAATGAGGAAATCACCTGCCCTAGAAGAGGGAAGAGCTGCCCTGGGTTCCCCAGGCTAAACTCTGTCCCTGTGTGCATTGATGCAGTGTAGGTCACTAGCTCACCCTTTGTGGAGAGAGGAACATCCTGACTCCGTGCATTTCCTATACCATTAGAACTGGATGAGGCTAATGATGGCATCTCGTTGTTCCTTGAGCTAGGTCCTGCTGCTGGCGAGGTAATGGATGTGCTCTCAGGGGTCCTACTCCCTCTGCACTGCTTTTGTTTAAATTCAATGGAAGTACTGAGCGTCTTTTCTTCTGTACCTCATGTTGATACAATCCAGTGACAGCTGCTAGGCACTTTGTGTAGTGAACATGAAATAGGAGGGAAATGAAAAAACCAGAGAGGGAGAATTACTCATGGGAAATTGAGCACAGCTTCATTTCTCTGCATTAAAAAAATAAGTAATACTAAAAGAATTACACACTTGCCAAAAGGATTTATTTCTTCCCAGCACTTTAGCTTTCTCAGATCTAAATCCCCCAGCACAAAAGTTTTTCTTTTTTTTTTTCAATAGATTTTATTATTGTTGATATTATTGTCATCATCATATTATATCTCTGAGTGGGTATGACAGTTTCCTCTACAACTGTAAAATAAAATCATGTAATATTTTCTGATTTCTAAGTATTGCAGTAGCTTCCTTTCCTTTGAAGATCTTTGTCACTTTTGCATGCTCTCCTCCTGTCTGTCCTTCCTACCTGCAGCTCTGTGCTATTCTGCTTCTCCCTAGCAAGCAGGGAAGACTAGTGGGTCCATATATTAAGTAGAAAAAGAAATTCCCCTTTGAAACACCAGTATTTTGCACCTAGCACCTTCTTCTGATTTCAAGGCTAAGAAGCTTCAGTTTGTCACAAAACTGAGACCCCTCGTTGGTGATGTGTTGTAATGCATGGAATTTATTTCACTGGCCTGACCTTACTCTTGACCTTCTTTCCCTCTTGTCTTCTGCAAATGCAAATGATGCATGAATTGATATCCCCTTAAGCCTGAACAGGGGAGGTAATTCTAAAATCGAGGAAGGAATTGGAACAGCAGAGCATATCTAGAGCGTCTGATACAATGCCTTTTTTATTTTTCAGTCAGTTTGCTCCCAGGAAAACCTTTTTGTGGAAAACAGGTAAAAATAGTTTGTTTTGTTTTGTTTTTAACTCAGCTGTTTCTCTCTATCATTATTTTGTCTACCTGTAGATGTTTGTCCTAATGAGAAGACTGTTGAGCAAATTTGTAATCCAAATGGCTTGTGGTGTTTTTCTGCTTTAAGGGGAGAAAAGAGACTGTCTTGCAATTATGAGTGGGTTATACCTGAGCAGACAAGATACTAGTGCTGCTTTCCCAAGACTTTGGATTTTAATTTAAAAAAAATAAATCTGGGGGGGAGGGAAGAGGGAAAACCCCAGCTAACATATCATTTTGAATGACCTGTCTCTGTCTGAAGTGCCTTTAGGATTTAACTTGGTGATCTTTTAAAAGCACTCTGACCACTGATTGGGTTGGCAGTATTTATGAACCATTGCATGTGTATTTCTGTTGTTTAACCTGCTTTCCTGTTGTGCCAAGCAGTGGCACTGACTTCACTTACTGTTTATAAATGCTCAGAACTCCATGAAATCAGACCCTCTTTATTCCTGCATTGTAGTAATGACATGATAATATCAGAGCCAGCTGTTGTTTGGCATTACCATGTGATAGATCCAATAGGTGTTCTTTTTATTGCAAAAAAAAATCCCTTTAAAGCAAAGGAAAGAAGAAACTTAACTACGATATACAAAATAGGAAGTGCTAGCTCTTTAGCAGTCATAAACTAGTTTAGCTATGTTGAAGATCTTGGAAATTACACAGCTTCTAGCAGTTGAAGGTCTTATCCAACATGCTGGGAATTGCACTGGTGACTGATGGAGGAGTGCTAGCCCAAGTCTGTCTTGTGCAAGTTTTAAAACCCTTCACGATTGGCATGAAGAAAGGAGATACTGTCTTTTACAGCGTTTCTCTCTCTGTCCACCCTCACTTCTGGCAGATGCAGGTATGGGTGAGCCGTAGAAAATGGCTTCACAATAAGGATACAGACCAGCTTTTCTGAAGGATGATCCCAAAACTCTGGAATGAGGCAACTCTCTTAGGAAATAATGACCAGTGTCATCTAAGCACTTTGTATTCTAACAACCAAATGTATTTCAGCAATTTCTTCTATAACATGACTATGGAGATATATATTTTAGCAAAATAAATTGAAATTGTAATAGAAAAACCCTGACAAGCGAAAAAAGGACACACCCCTAAACCTACTTTTCCCTCTTTGGAGAGAACAGGAGAATAAAGGTGACATTTGGAGGGGGTGTAAATACTGCTATGCTGAGTGTAGGATGAGATTCTGTAGGGAATAAGCTGTGAATTTCACACCCTTCATTTGTTTGTGATAGAAGATATGCGCTCACCCGTGGGTCAACCTGCCCAGCTTGTGTTTCTGCATATTTTCCACTTTTCAAACCTGTGAACGAGTTGACAAACTTTCATAATATGGGGATGCATACTCAAGGTCTAGAAAACTGCCAGGCTCAAAAATGGACTTTTATCTGCACTGTTGTTGTTAGGAGAGAGACGTACTTTGCATTTGTCAGAACACTTTTTTCTTGCTGCATGTGTGAAACACTTAAGCCCATACTTTTTGTACATGACGAATACTGTTTATTTTATGTGTTGAAAGTTGCTATATGTTTAAGTGCTTTGCTCAATCAAGACAGAAGCTCACAGCCTTTTCTTTTCATCAGAGAACCTGAGCATCTCTCTGCACAGTTATCCAAGAGACTTAATAAATATTTAAAGCTATATATGCAGTATTTTGATGGCTTGCATTTTTTATATGTTTTTATTAGCTTATATTTGTACAACTGTGTTTTGGATGTAGAAGCATGTTCCCTTGGCTTCTGAAAATTATCTTGCTTATTAACCAAAAATATCAAATGATCATCAGCCTCCTTGGCTGGCATTTTATATGTCAAGCTGACCATACACAACTTAACATATATAGGTGGGGTGGTTGTGGGGTGATTTTAGCTTCTTCGTGATTCTAGCAAATTTGAAAGTATTGCAGAAGTGTTGTTTTACAGATAAGCTATAAAGTTGATTTAACAGGTCTGTTACCATAATCTTTCTTTCCATTTTTCAGTAGGCTGTTGGAAGACAGTAGTGTATGCAATGACACCCATAAGAAAAGACAGCTGTTTAGGTTTGTATGGTTTATTTAATATCTGTTTCCTAATAACTTCTGTGTTTGTGTCCTCACTGAGTGAGATGTTGATGACTGCGAGCAGTATCATTCTGGCTACAGCACAGTGCAGAGAACAGGTTCTGGGGTGCTGTTTATCATCTGCTCTGAATGAGAAAATCACAATGGGATTTTCATTTGATTTTAGCAATCTTTGCTTTAGGAACCCAAGATTTTAGCAGTCTTTGGTTTAGGAACCTTAGATTTTGAACTGCTCAGCTGTTTGGCCTGCTACAATTTGGGTGTGACTATGACTGATAAAGTTTATTCTGCTCTGATGTTAGAAGATGTGCATGTTTCACAGACTGATGTTCAGAGTAGACTGCTTTTGATGTGATCTGAGGTAAAACTGGTGAGTTTTCCTCATCTAAAGTGGCAACATATTAAAAAGTCTCTTCAGTGAGCTTTCTTTTCCAAACTCTTAATTTCTTCTGCTCAGAGAACTATGTAATTGTAGCAGTGTTAACAAATTTTACATGCCACAGGGAGTGAATGGGAATCAATCCATATTTTCGTGGCAGGTTTTTTATCAGTTGACTTGCAGGGTCAGCAAGAGACCCAACTTTCTTTTTGTTATTATTTTTCTTTTTGTTATTATTTTTCTTTTTGTTATTATTTTTCTTTTTGTTATTATTTTTCTTTTTGTTATTATTTTTCTTTTTGTTATTATTTTTCTTTTTGTTATTATTCTTCTTTTTGTTATTATTTTTCTTTTTGTTATTATTTAAAAAAAAAAATCACCTGGGATGCGTTTGGAGAGTCTGATCTTCCTCACCCTGTGAGGGCTCTCAGATTCAGTTCAAATTGGAGTTGAGTATATCAACTTGCTTTTAAAATCAATCTACTGCCACAAGCCTTAAGCAGAAATAGCGAATACTTTCAGAAACATATCCTCTATCCACCAAAGCTGCCAGGTACGTAGAGGTGCTGTCTTCACTGCATGTGTATCTATATACTGCTTGTACTTCTATTGTGAAACTTTAAAGATTTTGTTTTAAATTTCTCTTTCTATATTGTTGCCACTGCTCTCTTTCTCCTTATGCTTTCTCACTGACTGGGTCTAGCAGAGATGACCAGGTAAATCCTGCTGATGGCCTCTGTGTAGGGCTCTGTTCTCAGGCGAGGAATGCACCAGGCTGATTGGGATCTCTGACAGGCTGCTCTGCTCCATTGTGTCCAGCAGGACACAGCTCAGCAGGCTCTCTAATAAAGAGCAGGAGAAAGGAAAAACACATAGATGTAGTATCAGCAATTGACTTTGTATACAGTTCTTCAGCCTGCAAGATGATACTCTTGCAGGGGTTGAAAGACAGAAGGGTTGAACATGTTTTCTGAAAGCCTCGCAAAAGTAAGCGTTATTAGCCTTAATTTGAGTAGCAGTTGTGGTACACTCAGCTGCAGTAGGCACACAGGTTTTGCCACCTAAGCAGTGGATTGTAAACTTCATCATAAGCTGAATTCTGCTCTGGTTTCTACTCTCTGCTCTTGATTTGCTGTGTTGTTGCTCACAATGTCCTGGATGCTTTGCAGCTGCTAAAGGCTAGGCAGCCTCTTCCCAGAGACTTTCAGCTTGTAGATGGGTAAAGAAGCAGAGAGGGAATGTGATAATGTGGTTAAGTGTGTGCAGAGTCTGGTGAGTCTCTAAGCTTTAGCACTGGAGAGGATGGAAGACACATTTAGAGGGAGGCCTTGGATAAAAGGTTGGAGCAGACGAGGAGGCAGATGAGAGTGGGAAAGAGGGGTGACATATGCAAAGAGGGGTGGATAGGAAGAGAAAGCAAGGGGGCATGCTGGGCTTTGAAGCTGGTAGGAAAAGCTTTTGAGGGTCAGGTACAGTAAAGGGGAAACCAGCAAGCCATTTGTTGAGGGAAGAGGCCAACCAACAGCCAACAGAAATGAGTCCTTGGTGCTGCGTAATAATTGCTGCATTGGTTCCTTCCGATGAAGTGCTCTTAGGGTATTTGTGAAAGGGCAGCAGTGGCTAAGTGCAATGCACATGAATAGACATGGCGGTATTCGCTTGTTGAAACTGGGTGACTTTGAGGACAAATCACCCTTTTCAGGCACACTGTAGTAAATCCAGAGCATTTCCTTTAATAGATTGATTACAGTCTAACCAAAGCTAGACTCTGCCTTCATGCGTGTTTGTGCATAAATCTTTGTTTTCTAATGCCCTTAGGGGTAACAGGGATAGCACGGGGAAGGCATCTGGCAGTCGGCAGAGCAGCACAGAGAATGAATTGAAGTGGACAGACCACCAGAGACCGTGGAGCAGCACAGACTCAGACAGTTCAAATCGAAACTTGAAGCCAGCCATAACAAAGACAGCAAGTTTTGGTGGAATAACTGTTCTGACAAGAGGAGATAGCTCATCAAGTAACAGAAGTACCGGCAAACTGTCCAAAACAGGTAGCTAGTACTGTATTGGGTTCACACTACCTTTCTCTTTTATGGTGCGAAAAGACTGGGTTGGCATTTGTGTGAGAATATGCTGTATTTCCTGTGTATGGTCAATATGCATGCCTATCTAGGTATATTTGTAACTGGTGTTCAGTTTTTAGGAATCAAGAAGAAAACCTGATACCTGGAGGTTGCAGACCATAGGTAAAGTAGGATTTTCTTGAAACAGAGCATTTCACTTTCTGTTTGAGCACTGTGTACCATTTTTATAGCCTGGAAAGGTAGTAATCTTAGACAAAGCAAGTACAGTTTTTAATTTTCTGTGAATCTTACTCTTTTTGAATCATGGAAGAATTAAATGAGGTGTATCTCACGAGAAATCCAAGAACATTTTGTTGTTGTTGTTGCTAAAGTGTAGACCATCTGTACCTTGGAGTTGAGCCTCTCTCTACCTCCTGGTGAATAAGCCAGTACACTCTAGCATAAGCCATCAGAAGAGCTGGATTCACAGCGCTCCTGCCGTCTCTGTTTTCCTGTTTAGTTGCAATTAAATGAAAACATCATTTAAGGGAGGATGAACCTGGTGGGAATTCTGCATCTATTTGCATTAACTTCACATTAACATATGGGTGAGTCATAGGGTCTGGATCTAAGTAATTTCAAGCCATGCCATTAAGCTACTCTATTATGTTTTTGTGTAAAAGCGCATAATAAATAACGAGACCCCCAGATGATTCCATCAGTCTCATTCATTTGATAAATATAGTACAGGACAAGTGATAATCAATATTTAGCACTTAGCACTTTTTTTGGCTTGAGAGTATTTTATGGATATTACTCCATTTAAGCCCCTTTATCAAACCAGGATTGATCAAATTTCACTCCTATTCCCAAAACTGTGCCGATCTTTGCTCTGCTTCAGGACCCATGGGAATGAAATTTGGAATATCAGTTCTGCCAGCCTTCAGATATGTTTGATATATCTCCCAGATGAGAAGGACCCGGGCTGGTCTGAAAGCTGCTCTTTTAAAGCCTGCTGCTCACCAAGCTGCTGGGAGCTTTTGGAATATCCTGTCTCTCTTGCTTTACAATTCTATTTTACATTTCTTGTGAGACTTTAGACCAATAAGACTTTCATGTCGTGTTATCCTAAGGTTCTCCTTCAATTTTACTCCATTCTTATCTATGTAAAATCCTATGGAATTTAGATAAAAATTCAACTTTGGTGAAATGTAGCACTGTATCACTGATTATCTCTAGATTGTTTCTCTATCATACATATGCTCATGCTCAAACAACGCATATGTGACTCTGAAACTGCACTCCTGTTTTTTTTGCCAGTGGAGGGGCGATCCATAAAGAGGAATAGGCTGTGCAAGGGGATCTGGAGTATGCAGTAAACCATGTCTTAACCTCTAGATTCTCTTCCTTTCTATGGATCTCCTTATATTGTTTTGTAGGTCAATCTGATATGCATCAAATAGGAGTAAGACACAGTATGGTTAGTATACTTTTTGGGTAGGTATCATGCAGTTAAATATGCATCTCTGCACTGTATGGTAGGTTTGCAGAATATTTAAATGGTGTCTGAGATTTGGAGGGCTGAGCATCTCCTAATTGTAAAAGATTAATACTTTTAAGGAGCCATTCTGGTGTTAAAATCAAGCTTATTAAATGAGGCACTTAGAAAATATATTAAAAGAGAAATCTCTGAAGCCAATAATTGTAAGTGGATCTGCATGCTCTACGTACCAAAATCGCTTTTAAATGAAAGTCCTCGTAGCACATTTTTGAATCATAGTAGTATTAAAATTCCATGTTCTCTGCCTTGCAATTACATATTGTGAGTGCTTTGACTGTCTAAGCAAAGTGTTTCACTTGGAAAGCTACTTAAGGCATATGGAAAATAAAAAAGAAACTAAAAAGTAAAGGCAAGGGAGGGGCAAAAAAAGAGCAAGGCTATCTGTCAAAACAAGCTCGCACCTTCAAAGGTAAGACATCAAGTAAAACTGTCAGTCAGTCGGAGGCAGTAACATCTGAATCACTGTTTCTATCCTTACCTTTGAAACGTTGCATAACATTAAAACAGAAGAGAATGACTTCAAAAAATAATGGGAAAATATGTCCTAATAAACTGTTCTCCCTTCACTTAAAAGTGCTGCCTCCATACAGCTGACACAGCTTCGATGTGGTATTTGCACGTGTTTTCTAAGGTACAGTAGGTACCAGTTTCTACCATCTGTAGAAAATACCAGTTTATTATTCAAAGTGTTTCTACGATCTACAGTAATAAATTTAAAGTATTTTTGGCTTTTATATAGTATTTATAAGATCAGTTTGAGGACAGCAACAATTAACAATGTTCTTCGTCGACTAAATGTCAGAAAATGATCGTTTTAAACGTGATACATGATAATTATGAAGATGCATTGTCAAACAAATTTCCTGAGCCAGGAAAAAATAATATTCTTCGGATTCTCACTGATTCTTCACAGATACCTTTGGGAAAATATACCATAATGCAATTTTAGTACTGTTACCTTTATAGACAATTTCTAATATTGTCACCAAAATTAATTATATTCCCTTAATATTTACTGCTAATAAATCAGAAATTAATGGTGCATAGTGGAAAGAAAACTGAAGCAGGGGAAGTAGTCAGCCTCCCATTAGGTGAAGACTGATCATAGAAGGCACTGTTTTCCATTGCAGAATTTAGTAGTATCTATTAGTCCTACACTTTAATTGCATTCAGCTGTATGGAAATGAGACTTTAACAAAACAATTATGCTACTTTGTTCATGCAAAATTTTGCAGAAGGAGCTACCTTAAACTCATTGTGCGGTTATTTTATTGGTTCTCTGATTAATATTTTTGCGCACCTGTTTCATTTAAAAGCACAGATTGTATCTTGTAAATTATTTTCTGTTTTCTCATTGCAAAGCTGAATAAATATATAGTCAGTATTATTTAAGTTATAAATCCGTATTGATACGGGAAGCTAATAATTTAACAGACTGGGATCAGATCAAATTCCTCCAACTTAAGACACCATACAAAGCTTTGGTGAGTTTAGATTTCCAGTAGTACAGTGGGCTTTTCAGGGATGACTAAATATATATAGTTATGGTGAAGTAGATGTTCCTGTGGTCATCAAAGATATATCTGCTGAGTATCTAACTACGCTTTGTACTTCTTGCACAGAGAAAATCCAGTACATAGCCTATCATGTTACTTTCCTTGACACTACAATAGTTTTCGGTATAGATTCCTTCAAGGGAATATGTCATACATTCCAAAAAAATGTACTATGTGCATACATCTACAGATCTAAAGAACTGCTGAAAGACTTAAAAGACCTAGCTGTTGCATCTTGAGCTTTTTTTTCTAATGTATTTTTCCTTTTCCATTAGTGGAATGCACATGTGGTGGACTGTGTTTCTTTGCTCCCCATTTACAAAAAGCCGCCTGTGTTGCGATATCAGCTGCGTTGATGCAGAGCTTTAGGAATTATTAACTTCTTTGGAGCGACTCCAAGTAATCGGAGCTACAATCTAATATGTCCTTTTAGGTGTTCATTGTTAATTCAGTAGGGCAACTACAGTATATTGCAGACATTTAAATACATTAACCTCTTTTTTTTTTTTTTTTTTGATAAAGTATCCTGCAAAATATGGTTCAGTGTCTGGGTTTTGGAACTAGATTCCTAGTTCTTTGTGTTTTTCTTTTTTCTTTTTTTTTCTTTTTTTTCTTTTTTCCTTTTTTTCTTTTTTTCATTTTTTTTCTTTTCTTTCTTTTTCTTTTTTTTTTCTTTTTTTAATCAGGCTGTTGGATCTTGAGAGTCCAAGGGAAATTGCAAGAATGTTGATGTATGGGTAATAAATTAGAAGCCAACTGTTTCCAGTCATAAGCTTACCACCAACCTACTGAGCTGAAACATTAATCTTGTTTTCAGAAGTGCAGTTTGCAGAGAAGTATCATGTTCACATGAGCACATACCACTAAAAATAATAATAATAATAATAAAAAGTAAATACACTGTTTTATACAAACGTATACCTGACTTCTAAAACTGACAAATACTCCTAAGCCAAGAAACTATAGCCAAAACAAAAAATACAGGATATACAAAAAATCAGGAATGACCAGCACTATGCTAATCTAGAAAAAAATGAGTGAGTAGATGATGATGGTCTGGTTGAGAAGGCAAAAATTTACTTTTGCCTTGGAAAGTGGGATCAGCAGAGGAAAGAGTTTATTTCTTCAGCTATTAAATGTTAGTCCAGAGAAAACAGAGCAAGGTGTCCTCTGCTGATCACTAGCATTCAGGCTATTGTAAAATTTGAGTGTCTGCTTTCTCTGCCTCTCCTCACTTTCCCAGAAATCGCTATCAAAACGTTGAGACGTTGATGTTTTTTCCATTTCTTTTTCTTTCTTACTGCAGCTCAGAATGGTGAATCCCTGAGAACAATTAAAAATATGTCAGTGGAAAGGGATGAGAATCTGAAAGCTATTATTATGTCAGCAGTGAAGCAAATATAAATATATATGTGTATATATATATATAAATATATAGATTAGCCTAGAAGTAGCCATGCAGAAAAAAAAGAGGGTTTGTGTAATGGGGGCAAGAATCTTATTTACTTAAAATTCCTTTCAGACGTCGTTAGTAAGGCATCTCCCAATGTGAATCAGAATAAAGTCAGATATTTCTTTTCTTTTTCATTCTCTACAGCACTGAACTCATTATGTGGTGGTTTCTTACTCCAAATTTAGAAACTGTGAAAACAGTTACTCAGTGCTATAAGGTCAAGATTAATTTTGTTTTGGTTTCCAAACATTAGTGTTGGAACATGCTTGGCTTAGTACGTCTAGACTTAAAATGATAGGAAAATAAGTTGTGATAATGGAAATAATAGATTATTCTTTTAGAGGTTAAATGAATTCAAAAGTAGTTAAGTAATAACTTCTGTGGTTATTTTGACAATATGAAAAGAAATGCTGAAATTGATCTGAGTCTTGTTTGCTTTCTTTCAAAATCAAATACTTGATTTACTGACATAGATGAGCAGATCTTTGATCTTTTAAGACAGCCGGTTTCAATGTTATTGTTGTAGCTGATGGGTGCTGATGGCTCCAGAGACTGTCCTACCACTTCTGCTTAGCATTTGATATGTGCATCTGAAGTCATTACAAGTCGTTTGGCTTTTAACATTCAGCAGTTGATAGAGATCAATCTGTGATTCTGCCATAAAAGCAACTGAAAGGAAGAGAATGGGATGTCAGAGGCATGATCTCTGCTTGCAGCTTTTTAGAATAGCACAAAATGGGCGGAGAGAGGATCCAAATTGAGGCTTGATACTACTGACATCCTCAGAAATACTAATGAGGCATTTCTGGAATATCATCATTGCTCTATGTCTCCAGATAGCTTCAAATCCATTGAATTCAATAGATAAAGAAAAAGAGAAGTAAATAAAGCTAGAAGTTCATGAAGCAACATGAAATGAATGTAGAAGGGCTTGTTGAATGAAGAGAAAGAAATGGTAATTGCTACAAAAAGAAAATGAAACTCCTGCAGTTACGTTTACATTTGAAAATAATGCAAGTAGTTTGCTGAGGATGTCCTCCCAAACTATCTCTGCCAACTGTAGAAACACTGAAAACTGAAATGATCCAGTAAATAAAAGTCTTCCAGCAGGAGTGACCTTTCTGAATTTCCAGCCTTAACCTCACAGAGGGGGGGAAAAAAAAACAACCACTAATACAGCTTTGGAGTACCCTGGAAAAAATATATATCTTTAGAAATTGCTGTTGCTTTCTTGATTAGTTGTTGGAGAGAGAGATTTGGGGGGTTTCCAATGACAAATTGTGCACAGTTCAGAAAGATGCCATCTCTGTAGTAACTACCATCTGGATATGAAGTTTGAAAAAGTAGGATAAAAACATTTATCAGCTTTTACACAGCAATTCCCAGTGGAAAGACCCCGCACTTGTGAGCTGGTATCCTTGTAAATAAGCTTGGTTTGCTCTAAATAGGAGGGAAGTAATGAATTCCAGTAAGGCCTGTGCAAAGAATGAAGCAGAGACTCTTAAGCAGTCAAATACGGGGTCCTCTAAAAGTACCCCAGATATGAGGGCTGTAGTTTGCCCTCCAAATGGGAAGATAATTTTGTTATAACTTAAGTTAGTGTTCCATTTTTCCGCTCAGTCTATATCTGCAGGAGGAAAATTTGAGACAGGTCATTTAAGTAAAATACAAAAAGGTTTTGATATTCCTGTTTCTTACTTCCAAAAACAAGCATCATACAGGCATTTGCTTTCACGCCTCCTGTGTATTTGCCTCAAACACCTTGCTTAAAGCAGGAAGTTATCTGAGCCTTACATTCTGAGTGAGGTTCTTGACATTACTGCATCAAAGAAATGGAAATTTAATCAAGTAAAATCTCTGAAGTTTGTAAATTTTATTGGAGTTTTAAAAGAATGCGACTCTTCATCCTTCCAGGCATTGCTGCAGTCTTTTAGCACATTTAATTTAACTTGATTGATCACTTACAAGAGGATCAGTGCTGAAAAAAAAATCAAAGTGGGGAAAAAAATGTTAGGTAGGTATGAATTAATATAAAATACGGCACAGCTGCCCAGTAAGTTGACTGAGAACTCAGTTGCTGTTTTTCGTATAGAAAACCTTCCAAGAGATTTTTTTTTTTTTTACATTTATTAACTCTGTGTTTATACTTTACAAACTGATTCTTTTGTATTTTAAACTCATACTGAGCTTTCTGTGTTATGTTTGATAAAAGCATTTTCTGGCTGGAGAGGGGAACAGACTTTGCAGGTGGCGGAAACGCTCTTTTAAATTGTGCAAATCCCAGTGCATGCTGATGTCTGGTGGACACGGCCTCGTGTTTGCTTCTGCAGCGCGTGAAGCCTGTCCCAGTGCGTGCGACGAGTGCAGGGCACCGTGGGTCCACTGTAACCATAGCTCTGTCTCTGTGCTAGGCTCAGAGTCTTCCAGCAGCGCTGGCTCCTCAGGATCCCTGTCACGACTACATCAGCCTCTCCAAAGTGCACCTCTTGTCCCCGGAGTGACCGCCAGCTCTTCGGGCAGCGTGTCCTACGCCGAAAACGGGATGAGTGGCCAGGTAGCGCCCGGCAACACCAGCTATATCCTCCTTCCACTTGAAGCTGCGGGGATACCGCCTGGCAGTATCCTGCTCAACCCGCACACAGGTCAGTCAGGTACTCTTCCACATCCCACTTCCCTTTCATATTCCTGGTGCCATCTCTGGAATGAGAAAATCTCCTGTTTCTAGAGATACTTTACTTTGGGCACCTTATGCGGAAGAAAATTGCCTTTTTTGCACAGAAAGGAGATTTAGCAGGTTGTTTTTAGAGCTGCCATTAAATCTGCCATGTTGTGGTGTGGCCACCAGGAAATGATATATAACATTATACTCCTATACTCCCAAACAATGCCCAGATCTTTTTAAAGTCCTGGCACTTCTCGTTTGTGGACCCTCTGAGATCTCATTAACTTTGGTAAGGAGAGAAAGTCCTCCATAATGACTCTCCCTGAGATAGGGGCAACTGAAATCCAATGCTCCAAATTTTAGAGATCATAGTTAACAGTAGAAAAATTACAGAAGACTTAGTAGCTGCATCTGATTAGCACTTCAGAGTTAATTTTCTTATACCAACTGTTTGATTAACAATTATATTTAAATTGGAAGTTTTGTTAAAAAAGAAATTTCTAGTGGCTTTGATTCTGTGTCGGTCTGCTGGTTAGTAGTGCAGAGGCAGGCAAATGAGGCACTTGCTGTTGTCTGAGCACTGCGTACACTTCAAAAACCACTCAGCTTGAACTTGAGTGCTTGCAGAAAGTCTAAGGCAATTTGTTATATCCTTGGTTTAGATGAAGTCCAGGTAAGGTTATGCTATTACTCTCCACGCTATTGTACTGACAGCTCTTAAGGTACAGAGAGGTTGAGGCCGTCATGCTTTTGCAGTGATTTGAACAATTTCAGTGACCATGACTAGCTATTCTGCCCTTCTGAGTTATGCTGGGTTTAAAATAGTGAAACATAGAGAGCACTGAATTTTCCATTATACTGGGAACTGAGAGTAGGGCCAGAATTTTTTAGAAATCCTTAATGGAACATTCATGAGCATTTTATTTGAATTACTTTCTTTGTAACTAAATCTCTATTTATATTATATTTCTCAAGGAGAGATATTTCTCTGTTTTATTATATTTCTCAGAGAGACTTCTCTGTTTGAGAAATACAGTAATTTTTATTTTCTCTGTCCTCCAAGGCATAATTGAGAGTTCTGTGTGTTGGATATTTACTGTTCAGAGAGTAAGTGTTTTTCTTTAAATAGTTGTCTAGATATTTTTAACTGTTTTTGTAAGTGTAGACATAATAAAGAAAGTAGAGGGGGAAAAGTTCTTCCAAAGAGTGAAATTCTCAGATGTATAGCTTTGCATTGCCACTTGTATTAGAAGTCAGGCTATACTGTAGTGTCAGCTGTGTTTTTGACATACAGCAAAATGTATACTACAAATTTGCCACTCTTTAGGCTCAAAATCTTTGCATCTTATTACAATTGCATTACAAAAGAAACTCCTTAGGGAGGAGACTTAGAGATTGCTAGATGCTGTGCTTAACTATCAAAGTGATGGATGCTGTCAGAAACATAGATGAAGAGAAGACATTTTAAAGAAAATGGAAAAGAAGCTTTGTTTCCTCTAATGAGTAGATTTTTTTTTCTCTATGTAACATGCTGCTTTAGCTCTTTCTTTTTCTCCTTGCAGAGTGCTTATTTCCAATCTACTTCTCTTTTGATCCAAGCACCTTGTCCTTTAGAGAGCTTTGCTTCTTTTCACGCTACAGAGACAGAGGCTGTGCAAGCTTCTAATGGCATCAGAAGATGCTGTCAGCATCTCTCAGCTCTGATTACAGCTCTCAGCTCCTTTTCAGGTGTTGGCAATCCACATCCTTTCCTTAACCGTATTCCATTCCCTTTGATTTGTCTCCTCCACTTTACCGTTCCTCTCTTTCCCCAGATGCAGAAGCTTCTGTCTCCTTTTGGGAAAGGAGGTCATTTATACAGCTATGTCATACTGCTCTTGATTTCACCAACGCACCGGTCTGTTTTGCCATTTATAAGATTTTTCTTGACATGCTTTCTGACATAACCTCTTCACCAATTAAGAGCATTTACATTTCATTCTTACCCCTTTAAATGGCACCACAATCTTTGCCTTTCTGTCAAGGCCACAGTTCATAACTTACAAATGTCTTTCTTATTGCCATTTGATCTCTCCTTTTCACTTCCTATCTCACAATTTCTTCTTAATAGGTCTTTTTTCATCTTTACAAATATTACTACCTTTTCTCTTTCAGTCCTGTCATGTTTCGCTATGCCACATAAAATGTTCTTTCAATTCAGGTTTCCCTTGAGCACTTGGTACGGATTTCAGGAATCTGTTATCCTTGTCACCCACTTGGATTCCCACTTAATGCCTTTTTGCAATTCTTTCCTCTTTAAGCCTCTTCCTCTGTGGTGCTCCCTCTGGACAGCAGAACCTGGTATTTCCATTCCAGACATTTATTCTTTGCAGCTCTAGGCCTCATTGTTTGCCAGCAGAGTCACAGTTGATGCCCGGGAAGGAGATCATCTTTAAAAGCTTCCACTGTCTTTCTGCCTTTCAAGGGATTTTAAATTCAAGGGGCCTTTATCTCCCAAATATGTGAGGAGACAGCAGTTAGAAGCACAGATATGGGAAATGTTGTTCTGAAGGATCATCTGAGCCTTCCCAAGCCTCATAAGTTACTTCTGGAACCTAAGACTCCAAGTCTAGGGAAAAAATAGTAATTTCCCCATGCCATCCATGCCATTTTCACCAAGTGTCTTCACAGCCCCAGTTCTATCCTTATTTCAAATTCGGACATAATTTGTCCTGCATTTGGCCAATTTTCCAAGAAATTTTAAGTGCTGCTTCTTTGATAACTTCCTGTGCTGTCTCCTCTAATTACTGAGACACAGCTTTCAAAAGTAAAGCACTATGTTATTCAAGTGTGTAGTTATATTAATAACAATATTTTTTTTCTCTCTTTTTCTTCTTTGTATGAATTACAATGTGTTAGAAGTAGTCATATACATTTCACTGCTATTACTGGAAAAGAAAATGTGCATGAATATCCACTATCTGTATTTGCTCCAGACCTCAATTTTAGCATTAGTTACTTCATCGTTAAATTACTTCAAGTAACCATAGCACCTGAATCCTCTTATAGTCACGGCAACCTTCCACGTATTCCTTGGGAATAAGTACTGCCAAAGAAAATGGGTGTTCTGGCAGCAGTTGAAGGAGTTCAGAATTATGTCTTCATTTATGTCATGCATAGCCGTACCTCCAAGCTCATATGTTGTCTATTTTAATCACTGATTTAATTGTTTTTACTGTAATTTTATCATCACAGTCCTGTTTATGCTTCACCATGTGGTAAGCCTATGATTCTATACTTCTGTGCGTTTGCTTTCTCTCCCTGCCTGCAATCTCAACAACCCTGAAGTATTTAGCAGCAGAATTCATGGAGAAACCTCCAGGCTAATTTGGTTTAGTCTTCTGTTCCTCTGTTCCCTTGCTGTGGTGGCCAGGCAAAAAGCTCTGGAGATGACTGGAAAAAAACACATAATTTTATTTTGTTTCTTTCTTTTTTTTCTTATGTAAACACTTCCAGTTGACATGTGATGTACATAGACATCTTAGACTTTGACTCTTCCTTGTGAAATTCAGAAAAAAATAGGTGCCAGCTTTATGTTAAATTGCAGTTCTGTAGTAGAAGCTAACTACCTTGCCTGGAAAAAAATAGATAGTTGGTACTATAATGAGGCATTGAGAGTAAAGAGCAATTTATTGTAGCAGATCAGTTAAAGCAAGCTTTTTCTAAACATGTGGTTTATACAATTTCATATGGTAAATTCTGCATTCTTGAAAGCACTCAGCAGAGGGAGGATGTCTTGTTTCAGGCCAACCATTTGTAAATCCTGATGGGACCCCGGCAATATACAATCCTCCCAGCGGCCAGCAGACCATGAGGAGCCAGATGGTCGGACAGTCCCAGCAGCAGCCTTCATCCCAACAGCCCCAGCAGGGCCCGCCGCCCCAGCAGCAAATTGCGAGTCACCTGCTCACGCAGGTAGGTGTGGTGGCCTCTGGAAAGGGAGAGGAAGCTCTCGCTGATATACAGGAAGACACGAGAGGAGAGAAGGAAGCAGACAGGAAGAAAATCCTGATATTTTTATCTTTCTTTTGGAAGAAATGGGGCCCACAATTGCTGATATTTTCAACATGGATGAAACAGAGGGAGAGGAAAGACTCATTTAATCAAGGAATGCTTTCATTTTGAAAGGAAATGTCAGAGTGGTTGGTATATGGCCAAAATAGTCTTTAAATTTCTTTTGCAAAAAAAATGCCATGTAAGTGTAAGCAAAAATGTTCCCTTTCAGACTAGCACACTCTGTAATTCTGTAGAAAGTGCTGAGAGTGGAGGAGTGGTAGTACATATATCTTTAGTGATTCTTTACTTGACCACCTTTCCAAGGCTTTGAAAATAAAAGCATACACTTTCATACTCTGTCCTTTCAAATGTTTAATTATTTCCTCTATTTCTGTTGATGTCTGTGTTTATATAATACTGATGTAATAGGAGCACTTTTGGTAAATTTGATCCCTAATGCTAGGAGACTCTTAGCAATTTCGTCCTTCTGACTGGCTAAAATTTGACACTACTGTCATTATGCAGTTTTCCTCTTTCAGTTGTTTCATACAACGTAAATATAGGTTACAAGAACACTTAAACAAAATGTGCATGGAGATTTTCATTCCTGCTCTCCCAGAGGCTGACTACTGAACACTGTTTCTTGAGTTTAACTTGTGCCAAGCTGAGGGCAGAACTTGAACCTATTAATGGTAATGCAGAAGGGGAGGAGAGGGAATCTGATCTGTAACATTTCACAACAGTTCACTGCTTGGTAGATCTTTGAGAATCCATGGGAACTCGGGCTCATCATAATTCCTTGGATTCCTTGGCGTGGAGTGTCCTTTCTATGTCCCTTTTGCAGGCAGTGGGGTTGACTTAAAAGACCCTCAGGTACGCTGTAGGGCCCTGCAAATTCTTCCGTTTTGAGATACATCAGGCCAAAGAAGTACTCTTGGGTGGCCCTCCCAGAGCACACCTGCATCAAGAGAAGACCCAGGGTCCTGTGCCTGTGCCCAAACTGGCTGGACATGACTCAGCTCTGTTCAAGACGCTTTGTAGGCACGATCATGGAGGGGAAGGGCACAGTAGTTTGGGCACCGTGCCATGGTGCTCCAGCTCGCTGGCTCCTGGGCTGGACATGGCACGCCACCAGCTGTGACAGCATGCGGGCAGAGGAATTCAGATCTGTTTCAAATTTCAATTTGTAGCTTTTCTCCCTGCTCTCAGGGAGTGGTCTCTGGTAAACCAGACAAAGGCAACTACTCCGGCAAGAATCTTACATCCCATCAACAAGCAGAGCAGCCAGGCTCTGCTGTAGATTTTATGGGAGGTTATGATTGGGCACAATTTCATCCAAGGTTATCCTGGCAATAAACTGTTTGAATTCAGTGAAGTTACTTGAATTTTACGAGGTTTGGACTCATGTTTATGGCTGTCATTTCTTTACTTGGTGCCAGCAGGATTTAGAACAAAAAAAGTAGGGCCAAACTTGTGTAAGACTCAAGTAAATGAGAGACTAAAATGAAAGGAATAATAAAGCTATTCCAAGGTAATAATGCCTTTCTTTCACTTAGATAAACATATTCTCCAAGCTGAAAGGCCTGCCCCTGTTGCAGTCTGTTCCTTGTTAATCTTTTTTAGCTACTATTTTCTGCCAAGGCAGCTTTACAATCGTTATTCCTTTGCCTATGACACACTCAGTCATTATCAGTAAAATGCAAATGCAAACTTAAAAAATATGGTCGTCTCCAATTTTATCGCTGTAAATTAAATGAGAAATCATGTTTTGGCTTTGCTTGACATCAGTAATCTTAAGGTATAGCTGTGGCTTTATTTTGGTCTGTTGGACATCAAAAAATATGAAAATTGGCCAAAAAAATCTGTAATAAAGAATTGAATGGCACAAGGCTGAAAGGAAGACAAAAATCACAGTAACCAAGCTCTGGTGTTATGACCCATGATGAGTCACCTGCATTTTCAGAGCAGTGTTTGAGGCCATTGTTCTCAATAACAGAGCTTGTGCTTGGTTTTGTTGTTATCTTTAAGTGTCTTGTATTCATTGTCTTTCATTGTGTTTATTTTGCAGCCTGTCCAGGCAATGCAGCCATCATCTCAGTCAGTCCAATATCCAGCAGTTCCTTATCCTCCCCAGCATCTCCTGCCAGTCTCTCCAACGCAGCAGTTTTCTGTGGTACTAAAGATTTTTGTTGTTGTTGTTCTTTATTTGAGGTGGAGGTGGGGCATGGTAGGTAGAGCCTGTTACGTTTTGGGGGAGGCTCTGAAGAGGATGGTGAAGGGCATTTCACATGAAAGTCCTGTCCAAATCTCCCTTTCCTTCACACTTCTGGCACTGACAAGCATTTTGTAAGAATATTTACCCTTATTCTAGTCATCCAATTAGGATAGTTAGGATCAGGACTCTTAAACTGGTTAATGGAGCCTCCAGAAGATACTTGGTTGTGTTTAGAGTAGGAGGCTGTCCCCCCCTGACTTTCTATGCAGGGAGCATAAACTTGTGCATGTTAGATTTTAATATTGCCCTTTTCTGTCCACAAATACCAGAAAAGAGACCCTCTAGAAATCATTCTTGTTCTTTACTTTATATGTATACTAAATCCATTGCCTGGATTTATTCAGTGCTGAACCTGGAGCATTTGAAAAACAGAAAACAGCACTGGTGAAACAGCTGCAGATGTGATAAACCATGCATCATGAAAAGTACTAATGGACACATGTAATAAAAATAGAGTGCATTTCTGGAGTCTGAATGTGTGGTGCTTATGGAGCTGAGATTATACAGTTATCAAATGAAGCTGACATTTTACAAGGCACTACGTGATTGTTGTTGTTATTTTCTCTCATACTATAGTGATCTTGTTGTTCATGACTGATTTTCTCAAGGTACAGATCTTCCATACTCATAGTAAGAGATGGAAAGGAATCTGTCTTTGCAGCTAATACCTGGTAGATGAACAGAGCAAATATGTTGCTCTGTTGAACAAGCAAATATGTTCTGTGTGGAGCCAAAGTTTTCTATCTTAATGTTAACTCTGTTGAAAAGTATCTTGCAGACATCTTGGGCTGTTCTAGTGATAAGTCATAGCTAGCCAAATGCTTTTCAGTGACTGGTTTAATAAGGAAACCTCACCTTCTTTGTGGAACTGTTATTCAACATTTTTCACTTTTATTCACTGTTACTTAATTTTATCGAGTATTGAATTACTATTTTTATGTACATTACACCAAATACACAGTGTATAAACTCTAGTCTTTCAAAGCTCCTGGCTCCTATTAGGCAAATTCATCAACACTTCAGACCCAATGAAGTTCTTGTTTGCAGTCATTTGCCTTTCAAGGCAAGGAATAAGCTAAGAGATCGAAGTCTTTATGTGCCTAAATGCAGGTGTGGGAAAATGCTTAAGTTAATAGCTACACTTTCTTATGCCATCTGAAGATCTGGACAAGAGTTTAAAATGTTTGTCCATATCTGATTGCAGAATAGAAAAGCAAGTCTCTGTGGAACAAAAGGTCATGGCCTTGTTCTACACATAGCTTTATTTATTTATTTATTTGCTATTTTAACTTTCCTGTGCTGGAGCAGTTTTGGAGCCTGAAAACATCAGTTGTCAATAAGTTAAAACAGTTGTCAAACCAATAGCAGATGTTTCTTTAAAGAAACAACGTGGCTGTTCCAAATGAAGAGGATTTTAATGTGTTTGTTCACTGTCCATGAGGGGTGTAAGGAATGGACTACAGTCTGCATGGTAGCAGACAAACTAATAATATCAGCTGGAGGCTTAGCTTTTTTATTATTTTTTTATTATTTTTTTTGAACTTCTCTGTTTGCAACCTGGGATTTTCAAAATAATCCAAAACGAAAAAAAAAACTGCATCTGAAACCTGCTGAATTCCTCTTAGGATCTTTTTGAATCGCAGGTGAAATTACCAGCATGTCTTTGAAGCATGCTGTGTGTAGGAGAGGAAGTATTCATTTATTTTCATGCCCTTTATATTTAAAATGTCTTCTTTTTAAACCTGTAAATTTCACTTGTCATTTGGAGGAGGAAAAAAAAAAAAAAAAAGTAAAAGACAAAAAGGGGGAGGGAAAGTATGAGCCAAAATAATGGGCTTTTGTGCTGAGTGATCCCATTCACCTTAAGTCTAGAAATCTTCAGATTTGTAGTGATTTTTTGCTTTTAATTGCCTCCGTTTTTGCAACTATCCTTGCATAATTCGACAGTTATATGAGCTGGGCTTGTGCATTTTCGCCTGCCTCTCCTACTCTGTTTGAACCTACTTTGCTTTGCTAATTTGCGCTAGTGTCTGCTGCAGACACCGTGTTTATCATCTTCTGCTGACTTTTGCCCCGCAGCGAGATGACATGACAACACAGTTTAGCCAGATGAGCTTAAGTCGTCAGTCGTCGGGAGACAACCCCGACTCGCCTTCCGGTCCTGTCTACCCGTCACCGATGCTGCAGCAGCCGGCGCAGCAGCCGGGCTACATCATGGCCTCGCCGAGCCAGCAGCTCCCCGCAGGCGGCTTCACCGGCTCGGGGCCGCCCGTGTCCCAGCAAGTGCTGCAGCCGCCGCCGCCGCCCCAGGGCTACGTGCAGCAGCCACCGCCTGCTCAGGTAGGAAACGCTGCCCGCTGGCCCGCTAGACCCTCATGAAGATGATACAAAAAAATACTCTGACTTCTGGATTTTTTTTTTTCCTGGATAAAAGCTTAGCAGATTTTTAGGCAGCAGGGAATTTGCAAAGCTTCTATCATTTCCCATGTTTCAGCAATTCTTCCCCAATCCCCAAACTGCTTTCTGAACATATGTTAATACTCCAGGACACATCTGCACATAAATACAGAGGAGGAGGGTGAGCAAATATCCGGAGTCCTTTTTCGCTGTGTATACACACCGAAAGAGCAACATACACAGCAGTGCAGGTAGCTGTTAATCATATTTAATTGACTTGAACATGTGACATGTCACAGATCAGTAATTTTTACTGTCTTCTTGAAGACTGATTATGTTTTACTGTTCACTGCCAAACATCTCTCCTTGTCTCCTGGGTACCTTTACAGAATATTGAAAGTGATTACTGTCAAGAAGTAAAATGCACAGATGACTTTCTGGCCTGTTTTCAAGGTATACACTTTAAAAAGCCAAATTTCTTTATCTAATTATAGATAATCTCATTTAAACTCTACTCCTAAATAATATTATTAGTATTGTTCCTGTTTACATTTTATCCTGTGGAAGAAAATATTTGAAAAATAATTTAAAAGAAGTTCTCACCTATTCTTTTAATGTCAAATTAATTTTAACCCTGCTATTTTTTCTTTGCCCCTTCTTACTGAAAATCTGCAATTGTTTGTTACAATGGCTGTTGCCCTTGTCCGTATATCATGAAAGAGCAGCACCGTTAGGCTGTTGGGAGGGTTGGCTCTTTGTGTTTGCGTATGCATACACAAAACTCATCTACATTTCAAGTTTAATTTCATTCTCTTCTGCCCTAAAATGCAGCACAGTAGTCTGCGTACTGCTTGTAGCACATGCACCACAGTCAGGGTATCTCTTGTATAAAAAGCGAGTGCATACAGAATGCTATATGATCAGTGTAAAAGCAGTCATTTATCTTAGAAGTTGCTATTGAATTTATACCAGTAGAAAAGAGGTTTGACTCTAATTGGTAGTTAGCCCCCGTAAATATATTGCTGACAAAGTTCTTGTAGATTAGCTCTGGGGCCCTGCATACTGTAGGAAAATATCAGAGCAATAAAAATTTGGGAAGAGGCGGCCCTGTAAGTATGAACTTCCTCTGGGAGGTGAAAAAAAGGAGAAAGAAAAGCACTCCAAACCTACAAACCCAAAGGTACTACACTGAATTATTAACTCTTGTACTGAAGTTCGATTAAATACAGTTCTACAGCTGCTCTCCAGGATTTCCTCTCCTGCACAATGTCAAAAGCAGAAATGGGCAGATTTTAAAGTGTTGTGGCCAGCAATTGGTGAGAGGACCCCTTTTCTTTTCCTTTTCTTCCCCTAGCCTCACAACAGTTCTGCAACTTAACAACAAATCGAAGATTTAATAACCTTAAAAAAAATCCATCTTTGTTCAGGTAGGTGGCAAAATAAAAAAGCCCTACTGTCTGGATTTGTTGAATGGGATTTTAGCAGACAATTCCTGTTTGTTTTTTGTATCATAGTTAGCATACATAAATCTTGCCCAGCCTCTCTATTTTCTTCTCCTTCTTATTGCGCTTCTGTAGTACTCATGGGCCCAAGCCCTTCTGTAGAGGTCCAGATTTGTTGCTGGCACCATTCTCTCACCGGGGCTTGACTGAAGGCGAAATGGTCACTTCTGCCTTGGCAAGTGAAGGAACGAGAAAGCTGAAACTACTGTGTAAACAGGAAAGCATACACACCCTTAAAAGATATTTTTGCGTATGACTCATTCTTTGTGGAAGTAGCATTGGCAAAATGGTATCCAAAAATGAGACGGCACAAATTCTTTGAGAGGCTGGGGAAGCTGGATTTTGTGTCTTCATTAACTTCAGATCTTCACAGAACCCCACCAAAGAGTCCATAGCTACTATAAGGCAAATCTTGATTCACAGCATGTCTTCTTTAGAAGACTTGTTCTAAATGAGGTCCATTTGGAGGTGGAAAACCTACATTTACATGAGTCTTTCCTTGGGAATCTCAGAATCATAGAATGCTTAAGGTTGGAAGGGACCTCTAGAGATCATCTAGTCCAACTCCCCTGCACACGCAGGGTCACCTAGAGCACGTGGCACAGGACTGCATCCAAGCAGGTTTGGAAGATCTCCAGAGAAGGAGACTCCACAACCTCTCTCAGCCCGTTTTAGTGCTCTGTCACCCTCACTGTTAAGAAATTTTCCTTAAGTTCCTGTGGAACTTTTGATGCTTCAGTTTCCGTCCATTACCTCTAGTTCTGTCGGTGGCCACCACTGAAAAGAGGCCAGCCCCATCCTCCTCACTGCCTCCCCTGAGGTACTTATAGACACTGATCAGGTCCCCTCTCAGCCTTCTCTTCTCCAGGCTGAACAGGCCCAGCTCCCTCAGCCCTCATAGGACAGATGTTCCAGGCCCCTGATGATCCTTGTAGCCCTGTGCTGGACTCTCTCCAGCAGCTCCACATCCCTCTTGTGCTGCGGAGCCCAGAACTGGACACAATACTCCAGATGTGGCCTCACCAGCGCTGAGTAGAACATTATATTGAGGGGCATGCCTGCAGATTGTGTGTCCAGGCTGCTATGTTTTCAATTTTTATAGAGGTTAGGGGAAGGAGGAGATCGAGAGGAGGAAGACTGAAGAAAGGCTGAGCGCAGAGATAGAGGATCCCGGGAAGAAATGGTGCCTCAATTTCTATAAAAGTCTATATATCATTGTAGATTCTGTTATGGCAGTTACAATTGCACTGAACATTAGTAATAGTGATGACCTCACTAGTAATTTAGATGAAATTGTTAATGCAAACTTGACTTGATTTGTCAACAACATGGAAGAAGGGCAAAATAATGGCAGCATGAAAGAATGAAGCTGTGAATTGATAGGGAAATATGTCAGGAAAGTAAAATGAGTCTGAAAGATGGGTCGAAATCCTATTCCTACTGTGAGGAAATAAGCAGCATACCTACAAATTTAAGGGAAGCTATTGGAGAGCAGCCTGAGGGGGGAGACAGGCTAATAATGGATTTCGAACTGTGTGTAGACAGAAGGAAACTAAAAGCTAATGCTGTATTGAGCCTCTGCCCGTTATCTAGAGACGAAGCATGTAGAAGGAAAAGAAGGTAATACCAGCTCACACCATTTTATAAGTGTCTTAAAAATGATGTCCCCACTTCTGTTTAAGATAAATAAAATGCTGTATACGAGAGAAGAACTTACAGGAGGGTTGGACTGGTCAGCTTACGAAGAGGAGATTTATCTTCAAAATAATCAAAGGGGAAAGGTTTATCTGTTAAATATTTTCAGGGTAATATTGAAATGGGGTGATTTTTCACTGTGTCAAAAGATTAAGATCAAGAAGTCATGCCTTTAGATAAGGTAGTGTACAGTTATAGTCTCAGCAGGTTATTTAGTTAGTATAACCATACAGCTATGTTGGCATGCTTGTTAGTGTAGTGGAAAATTCCCAGTTCTGTTAATAAAATGTTACATTAGCATCCTAGGTTATACTGTGCATTCATATGGGAAACCAATTCAAATCTAATTCAATATTTCAGTAGACTGCTACAGATTATTTTTATTTTTTTTATTGTTGTTGAAGAGCGTGTAAGCAAAGGATTAGTAACTAACACAGATGTAATGAGAAACTAAAAAATTCAAGAGAGTTAGAGCAGATGATGTAAGCAGAACTTATCTCTGATCCTTCTAATTTCCCTGTTCGCTAAAGTAACATCATAAAGGGCAAATAGCATTTCAGCTACTAAAATAGAGATATGTTGAAGATAAATGAAATTAGATCCTTCCAGACACCTCAACGACCAAAGCTCTATTTTATCTGTGTCTATATTTTACACCAAGTCAATCTTTTATTGTCCTATCTCTTAAAAGAATCTCCTCTTTGGAAGTCATGTGCACACAACTACTAGCAAAATCGTCCATTAATCATTCTAAATTAAATGATTTTCTACCTCATACTCCTACTGCTAAGGACATTTTTCAGGCTGACAGATTGCAGTCTGATAAGCTGCTAGATGGGGTATATAACAAATGTATTTCATTCCAGTGAATTTAGAAGATGAAAGAAAAAGACGCACACCCTTAGTGTGACTAGGTCTATATAAAATATCATTCTGTGTGATAAAATTAGGTAAACACTTGTTTAAAAAGTACTCTTAAGAAATACTAAAAAGTTTCAATGCATGTGTATGTATTTTGAGCTAAGCTTGTTTGACTACAAATCTCAGTTCAAAAGCTGTGCTGTTTAGGCTGTGTTTTAATGTTTATACATACAAACTCTTTCTAGAAGAGATAATTCATATTGTTCTCTTATGCTTATGTGTTTCCAAATATCTAAGGGTTTGTCTAGCAAGGAAAACAAGGAAGCTGAGGGTAAATCAAATAAATTTAAATAGACTAAGGTTAAGCTGCGGACAGGAGAAATGAGAGTCGTCCCACAGGAGTTTAATATTCTTTAATTTGAAGACTGTAATAAAGAATACTAGAGAAAGAGTCTAGTCTGTTCTCCTGCTCCAAGATAGGATCAGCTATTTTCTTTGAATTCACTTAGGCTGAACCCTCTCACCTCTTTTAGGCCTCTGGTTTTTGAGCCACCTTGATAGAAAACCCTGTTGCAGTCAGCTTTACACAGGGTCAGTTTATGTCACTAAATTTACCCAATTCCTCTTTTATATTACAGTGATATTTAAACCATAGTTTTACACCCTAAATTTCTGAGTAAACTTTCTTAACAACTTTTCTGTCTTTGGAAACAAACTACTTATCATTCTTTTTGTGTGCTTTATATGAGCCATAAAGGTATTGTCTGGAAGGGGATATTTTAAAACATTTTCCAATCAAAACATTATCTTTCTGCTCTGTGTTTGAATCTGGAGGGGGAAAAAAAAAAAAAAAAAGATTTGCATCAATTTAAGGGGAGATTGATAGGCCTTGAATAATAAATGGATATTCAACCTCTTGACTGAGGTACTGGTACTGAGTGATATTTCTTAGTCTTTGTGGGACTTTCACTTTATGGGCATTCTGGTTTTGTTGATTCTGATCCTTCATTCCTCAACTTCATTAGTCTTCTATTTAGCAAAATCACCTTCCATACAGTCTTCTCACTTGGTTTTTATACACATGTCTACCTGATGCTCTGTATAGGAGAATTTCAAATGTTTCTCAATGTTGTGCTTGCATACAAATAGTTGCAGTTACCTTTAATTCACTAAGACTTTCTTTTTTGGGTAATCAAATAGAACAAAAGCATTTTATATGATTTTGTCCTACCCATGAAGAAAAATATCATTGTATTATTTATAAAGGAATGCTGACTGATTTAGGACCTGCTGACAGAGCAACATTCTTAAAAAACATTATTTCAACTGTGTCCCTCTACAGTTTGCTGATACCATATGCTGCCAAACTATATCAGCTGCCTGCAGAATCACTGCAGCTGAAAATGAAAAATTTTGAGAGCTTTGAACTTGCTAAGGGTCAGTTGAAATCTCTTTAGCTTAAATGTCTCAGTAATGGTGATGCAGCATATACAGGAAGAATTCTTAGTTTCAGTCACCCTCAAACTTCTATGTTCACATATGTGATAAGGTGGTGCAGTACATACTGTTCTATAGTAATAATAATTATTAATAATAAGGGAAAAACATCCATCTAACAAAACTTACTGACTCAATGTCTACCTTCAGCTCCTGCCAAAAGATGACTACATTTTTTTTAGAGATGGGGCAATGTTCATGTAAAGATGTATCTGTACAGTAAAGTGAGAATTTAGAAATAGCTTCTTACAAGTATATAAGCATTCATATTCCATCTTTTTTTTTCTTTAGCTTTACTCCTGCTTTGCTGCTTTCTCTTTTTAATAAGTCTTTTGGTTTTAGAGCATGTAGTTAGTTGATGTTGTCTCTCTCTACAGATGCCAGTGTATTATTACACATCTGGTCAGTACCCTACCTCAACAACTCAGCAGTACAGACCCATTGCCTCAGTTCAGTACAGTGCGCAGCGGAGTCAACAAATACCACAGACTGCACAGCAAGCAGGTATTTCCATCTGCTACTTATTTCTTTAACTGCTTACATTGCCTTTGCTGATGAAACCTTTTGGTTGTGTTTTAATTTTGAGCTTGAACAGTGAAGGAGAAAGATAGTTTTTTGATCTAAAATATGTTGACAGCTGAAAACCAACAAGCCCCATGCTTGGAGATGTCAAGCTGTGGAAAAATGGAGGTAACGTTCTTCACCGCTGTGGTTTTGTACACAGGGTGGTGTACTCACTGTGTCAGTGCTCCAAAATGTTAGGTCACGTAGAGATCTAGTGTGAGCACCCGTATGTCACATTAAAGCCAACAGTTGTAATGTCCTTCACCAAGTAAACTCCCTAAACATTTGTAAACCAAGAAATCAGTGGTGGAAACATTTTGATATTACACAGCTGAAGGGTTAGCAGTGATGCAGAACCATGCCTTCACCTTAGTGACATTCCTGGTGAAGAGCTCCTCCTTTTCTGTCCAAGTGAGTGCTGGCGATTGCACTGCGTGGGGAGGTGGTTGGAGCACCCCCTGGCTGGACTTGCTCCCTGCAGCGATGGGCAGCTGGAAGGGGGGCCGTTACACTGTAAGAGAGTGAGTAGCAGGTCTCACAGTGAACCGGTCTCTTTTCCTGCTGTGTCACGTCACTCTCGATGGGCACGCAGTAAGGGACGCGTGGGCAGAGATGGACCGATGTGGGCTGGGCTGGGGGCTGTGCACGCGAAAAGCTCCTCGCATCTCAAATGAATAAAGAGCTTTTCCAGATCAGGAGAGTGGTGTGTGTTTACATCGTTGATTGTCTGTCTCTTCAGTGCATGTCTTTCCTCATACGGCGTCTCAGATGGATAGATGGCAACTCCAAGAGGAGAGGTTGTTCCCCCGTAGGGTTTACAATTACAAACATGCCAGGTCAGCTGAAGCTTTCATCTTTCTGTCAGTTATTGCTGGGCTTGCCAGATGCTCTTTGGGATGGGAAGGCAGTTTCTCTGCAAAGGCAATGGTTCACAAACCTTTTTAGATGCAAGTCAAGAGCACAGACACGAGACGTGAACAGGACCTGCAGGGTCATCCAGCCCCTCACACTGTCTCTGTAATGTGACTGCATGCAGTTTTGTTCATGCTCTCTCAAGCATTCAGCAAAACAAAGACAGAGCAAACATAGCTATATCCTATCATTTACATATATATATATATACACACACATATATATATACACATATATATATATAAGCTGTTATATGTTATAATAAAATCGGGGTTGCTTTCTTAGTATTGATGGTGGCTACCTGTGTCTGATTTCATAACTTCGTATTTATGCGTTCCTGGGAGAGAGAGAGAGAGATGAAGTACTGCACAAAGGTCACTTGTCTCTCTTAATTTATCCTGTCTGACAGTCTGGTACCATATTTATTATCTGTATATAGCGGATCTTTAAACCTAAGTGCAAATCAAATTATATGACATTATCTGGATCTACTGTGCTACTATAAAATCATATTTATCAGCTTAATGGTACATCCATAATGTGGAAATTATGGTAAACAAAGTGCACAGGAGACATCCTGAAATACTTGGACAATGTTTCTGGAGATAATTCAGCTATTTGATCTCAAGGAAATCCTAGTTATAAAGATGTACTGTAGTTCAGTAGCCATTATGTTTTAGTACAGCCAACACAGAGATAAAAATATTAATTTTGTTTCTATCTTTATTGCACTCTTTTTCTTAAATGTCTAGAAAATGTGACTTAGGGAATTTGTCTAAAATCTGTAGAGCATCAGTCTTTGATTGGATTTTGTTCTTTCAGCTTGCTTCTTGGTTGGAAACAATATTTTTATCTCTTACTTAAAAATGAAAACATTGTGACCACAGTTTAGGCTTCCTGTTGTGGTGAGTAGCTATTTTCCAATCTTAGGACTTGACTAAGAGCAAATTCTTCAAGCTGGCTTGTCACTATAGACTCAGATGCACCTTTCTTACATGGTCATTTCTATGAGCATGTAATAGGTGTGCCAAGAAGATACAAGAAAAGCTTGGAATTTCCTACAGATATCTTCTGTAAGTGAGAAAACTTAAGGGTGAAATCATGAGGGTAGGCTACCTTACGATTCCTCTGTGAATCTTAGTTATGAATCTTCAGGCAGGCGCGGGACAGAAAGATGTTGGGAAGTTAAAACTCTTCCTGGAATTAAGATGACTTTGGCTAACAGAAGCTCCATTCTCATAAAAGCAGGGATGAAATTTTCATTCTGTGTTTTGAGGGTGGCTTTCTCTTGATTTCTGCTAGTAAGCACCTACCTTATAATTTTGACTAGAGGCCATGAAGGTAAACCAAAGTATTTGCTAGTCTGTTTTAGCTGAAACAATACAGATACTTGTCATGTTATTGACTCCAGTGTCTAAAAGTGTTAGAAAGTGTCAGGTTACCTTGGGTCTATTAGTGCTTTCAGTGATATTTGTGCTCAGAATCAGTCACTGAAAGGGTATGGACTGATTATTCTAATTGGTTATGTTCCATTGTATCCCTTGGCATTTGGAAAGTAATAAGATTTTTCAAATGTCATGCAATTTATGCTAAAATAAAAAAGAGATAAAAAATAAAAAAGCATATTATTTATGCTATAGATTTACTGCACAGAGTTTATTGAGCGCACCAAGACTCCAAGAAAACAAATTATTCACTCAACAGTGTCAGCCTGGCTTTAGGTGTTTCAGTGTCCTGCGTTGATGCATCTGTTTTTCTTCCCTTCACACACTCTCAATGGCCTCCCACCAGGCGTATGCTCTGCATGAGCCCCGTGGCATCAGCCCACCTGCAAAATCTGCCTCTCTTCGGGCTCCATTTTTCTCGCATGCTCTCAGCTGCCTCCCATGCCCACTCATGGAGCAGGAGACAGCATTTTGGCATTGCCGTTGATTGCTTAGCAGCAGGCTAAACAGAGCAAATAACTGTTAGCTCGTGCGTCAGCCTTCTGACTGTGCGGGAAATGAACTGGGGTGCATCTTTCCTCTTTTAAGTTGCTGATTTTCACAAAGCTTTAGAAACATCAGATCTTTGCAGCTTCCATCTCTCCATCAGACTCGACAGAAATTAGACAACCAGCTCAGAAGTTGTTTTGAAGTTTGGTTATTTGAAGAAATCTGGCAGTGTAATCAGACAAATCTTCCCTTCAGAAATCAGGCTACAAATCTCTCTCAAACGTTTTCAGAAATTTGTATCTGAGTGGAAAATAGCGATGAAAAAGCTAATATTTCAAACTGCAATTTCCCTCCCAACGCAGACTTGGGCACCAAGCTTCAGAATAGCACATAAGCGGCATGAGCATGAGCTGTGGGTAACTAGGGACAAGACAATAAAGACATAAAGTAGAATAGCGACAGCAGAATAGAGCAAGGCCAAGAAAACTGGGACTGGGGAACAGGGAACGGATGAGAATGAGGTGCAAAGATGATCTTTGAAATTATTTCTCTGAAGACCTACTGACACTGCCGCCTCCGAGCACAGCAGCTGCAGCACAGGCCAGCGCATGCGATCCGAGTGTCGGTGCCTCCCGCAGAACAGCCAGTGCAGCACGATCAAGAGGCAGGCAGTGCAAGCCTAGAGCTCAGAAAATGCTCTATTAAAATAAGGAAGTTTGCCTGCTCGGTGGAGTTTTTGGAAGCTTTGAGAGGTCCAGCAAGAAGCTTAGATTTTGGAGTTTTCCCACTTCGGGCTGCAGAGGTCAAAGTTTGATGTAATGCCAGCGATTTGTTTTCATTTTTCTTAGAAAAGGTCTCTTCATGAATGGAACAATATTGATGACTTTGCAGCAAAGAGCTAAAGTAAAATGTCAGTAGAGCATCTCTAATGGCCATGGGAGTCTGTATTCTCTCATGGTTCTGGAAAGAAAGCAATATTAAGTTAAAATGGCTCCAGGCAGAGAAAAAAAAAAAAGATGAGCTCACCTCGAATTAGATTAGAGTCTGACAGCAATAAATCATTTGGAGAGAAGGATGGGAACTTTTGTGTTTGTTTATTTTTGAGAGCTAGCTTGTACAAGAAGAGAATGCGAGTGACCCATTTCTGGCTTCTGTCTATTACAAAAAAGGTTGGCTCTGGAGATTTGCAGATATCTTTGCCATTTGAATTACTTTTGCTTATATTCAGAACCAAGCCAAAATACGGTATTTGATGGAGTTGTAGTACAGTCTACCCACAGGAATACTTCAGTTTCACTCAGATACTTATCACTGTTGCTCTTCCTTATGACCCACCCCTTCTGCAGTGGGCTGGTGTCTGATACTGGTTTTTGTCAAGGTTTTTGCCTGAGGGGGGCCAGGCCAAGAGTACAGCTATCACCCAGGGCATGCTGAGCACATTTTAGGTGAGCTAGGATGTTTTCAGGTGGCTGTTCCCAAAAATTATATGCTCATTTTTCCAAACTATTTGAGTGAGTTGCTATTATTCATTTCTGCACAATATAGTAGACGGTACATAAAATACTATGGAATGTCTGCTTTCATAACCACACAAAATTAAATGTGATTTCTCTATTCTCATCTAACAACACTCTATAAATTGCACTTCTAACATTATCAGCGAGTATTTTATTCTTCAGTAGTTATCTCTGTGTTGATAGTTTGAAAGCTTTTGATCCTAGTTATTGTGTTTCAGAGGAGAGGAAAAAAAAAGACATATATTGATGAGAAATGAGTAATGATTTGTATCTTACCTCAGTGGAAGAAATGGGCTATTTTATACCTGCATGTCTGTATTTGTTTTCATAATAATAGTGTTGTGCTTAGAGGATTTTTAAGTTTTTCCTAAACAGGAGCTAGATTAAGTACATGAGTGTTAGTTTGGGATATGTAACTGGTCTTATTGGCATTCACAGTGAAGAAAGTGTAACAAGCTGAATGAATTTTCTACTTTGATTCATTTATATATGTCCATTTCACATGTTCCAGATAATTTCAGAGTGCATCAGAAATTTTATGGCTAAAATAATGTTTAGATTCTAAAAGGCAGTTAAC